TATACCTAGTTTCTTCAGGGTCTCCATCACGAAGGTATGGTGAATTTTATCAAAGACTTCTTCAATTTGTTGTGATCGTTACATGATTTTCATCTTTGAATCTGTTTATGTGGTGTATTGCATTTACTTACATATATGAACTCATCCTTCCATCTCTAGGATAAAACCAACTTAACTTAGTCTTGGTGTATGCCCTTTTTAATATGTTGTTGAGGGGCTGGGGATTTAGCTCAGCGGCAAAGCGCCTGCCTGGCAAGCGCAAGGTCGTGAGTTCGGTTCCCGGTACCGGAGAAAAACCAAAAAACCAAAAAAAAAAAAAAAAAAAATTAATATGTTGTTGAGCTGGGGAGGGGTGGCGCATGCCTATAACCCCAGCATTTGAGAGGCTGAGACAAGAGGACTGCTATGACTTCAAGGCCAGCCTAGACTACATAGTGAGTTCAAGGCCAGCATGGACTACAAAGCTAAATCGTGTCTCTTTAAGAAAAAAAAAAAAAAAAAGTTGAATTCTGCTTGCAAGAATCTTATTGAGGATTGTTCTTTCTATATTCATCATGGATACTGATCTGTAGTTCTCTACTTTTTTGGTGAAATGTTTATCCAGTTTGGGTATCAGGGTTACACTGGCTTTATAAAATGAATTTGGAAGTATTTTCTAAGCATTTCTCTTTCTATTTCATTGAATAGTTTGAAGAGCATTGATGTTAGTCCTTCTTTAGAGGTATGATAAAATTCAACCATTAATCCATCCAGTACTCGGATTTTCCTAATTGAAAGATATTTTATTACTGCTTCTTTCACTTCCTTCGTTAGATTAACTCCTAAGTATTTACTTTTCCTTGATGTTATTGTGAATGGAACTGTTTTCCAAATTTCTTTTTCGATGGGTTTATTGTTGTGGTTTTTGTGTATTTGTTTTGTATCCTGTTGCTTGTTTAGTTTGAATAAGGGCTAATCAATCTTGTTTATCCTTTCAAAGAACTGATTTGTGTTTCATTGGTCCTTTGAAGGACCAATGAAATTGTGAAATTTCTATAGAGAGCCCTCCCACTCCTTGTTGCAGCCCAGGAGGTTCATATTTGTAAGCCCATGGAAAAGTTATCAGAATTGTAATGAGTTAATTCCAATCTACCACTTCTAGTGCAACTTCTAGGTATTTATGCTGTATAAATAAAGATACAACAATATATCCAAAATGGTGGGGAGTCAAGGGGGTCCTGAGTCTGGCCACAATGATGGCTATCCAGAACAAAGGCCTATACCCAGGACCAAACCCAGATTTTATTCATTTGTGAAGAAGGCCTGAGGATGAGTGACCCTGACAGTGCTGAGCAGTACGTGAATGCCATGAGTTGGGCTAGGTAGGAGGCCTGAAATCACCTCTCCCACATGCAGAGAAGATATGAAGAAAGAATAATCTGCACAACATAACAGACATAGTATCTAATGTTCTGGGGTCAGTGTTTCAGCTCTGATGTATAATCTTTCAAGCCCCAGAAAGTCACAGCCTCTATCTAGATCCCAGCCCACAGCATGGTGCATTGGCTCACACATCCGGCCTCATCCTGGCTCATTGCTGGAAACAACAGGTTTCCAGGGAAACACACCTGCTGTCTTCAAAGACTACCATTAACACCTTGGCTAGACCAATATGCATTGCTTAAAGCCAACTGAAAGGATAAGGAAAAGGTCTTAGCCAGCTCTGTACATGTCAATACATGGAAATAGAGTTAGGCACAGCCAAAATGAAGGCAAGTGCTCCTCTTTCAAGGAGAATCGCCAAGGTGGTCCTCCACAGTTTCCATTTCATTAATTTCAGCTCTTACCTTCATTATTTCTTTCCTTGTATTTTGGATTTGGTTTATTCTTCTGCTAGGGCCTTGAGATGTATCATTAGGTTTGAGAACTCTCAGATTTTAATGTAGGCACTTATATAGTCTTCCCTGCCTTAATTGTATCTTTATTGATACCACAAATTCTCATATACTATGTTTCCAATATGATTTGACTCCAGAAATTCTGAAATTTCCTCAATTTCTTCAATGATCCACTGATCATTCGAAAGTATGATGTTCAATCTGCATGAGCAGCTTCTGTGATTTTTTTTACTGATGATTTCTAGTTTCATTCCATTGTGATCTGACAGGATGCATGAGATTATTTCAATTTTTCTGTACTTGTTACAACATGCTTTATGGCCTTAAATATTATTTATTTTGGAGAAAGTTCTATGTGCTCCTGAAAGGAATGGGTATTCCACTACTGTTGTGGAACACTCTAGCTTAATGTTATATTTAATGTTAAATACATTTAATCTATAGTGTAATTTAACTCTATTTCCTTATTGATTTTTTGTCTAGACAACCCATCTCTTTGTCAGAATAAACTACTGATGTCATCAACGACGATGTAGTTGTATATATGGGTCTGTCTGTCCTTTCATGTCGAGTAGTGTTAGTTTTATGAAATTGGGTGCATATACACTGATAATCATGTCTCCTTGGTGGATTGTTCCCTTTACTAAAACACAGGCACATTCTTTGTCTATTTTGGCTAAGTTTGACTTGAAGTTTACTTTGTCTAAGTATAATTACTCCTGCTTGCTGTCAGATACCATTTCCATAAAATATTGTTTCCCATCCTTTCCCTTTTAGTCCAGGCATTTCTTTGCCGATGAGGTGGGTCTCTTAAAGGCAACATATTGTTGGGTCTTGCTTTTCAATCTAATCTGCCAGCTTATATCTTTTAATGAGAGAATCAAGACCATTTACATTCAAGACCATTACATTACTGAAAGGTATGTATGTACCAACTGTTACCATTTTGTTATTTTTCTTTTGTTGGATTCTTTCCTAATTCTCATTTGTTAATATAGTCTTCCCTTCCTTTTTGTAGTGTTCCTTTAAGTATCTTCTGTAATGCTGCCTTAGTAGTCATGAATTCCTTTAGTTTCTACTTATCTTGAAGGTTGTTATTTCTCCTTCAATTCTGAAGGATAGTTTTACTGGATACAGTCATATAGATGGGCAGTTATTTTCTTGAGGATCTTGAAATATATTCTTTCCTGCTTTCCTGGCTTTTAATTTCTGCTGATATCTGCTATTACTCAGATGGGTTTGCCTTTGTAAATAATTTAGTGGTTTTTTTCTCTTGCATCTTTCAGTATCTTTCTTTGTTTTACAGTCTTGACATATTCACTATAGCATAATGTGGATAGGTCTTTTTTTTTTTTTTGGTTATGTCTGTTTATGGTTCTAAATGCCTCCTGTACCTGCATGTCCATACCTTTCTTAAAATTTTGAAAAATTTCTATTATTTCACTGAATAGATTTTCTATGGTTTTAATCTACATTTCAGTCTCCTTTTATAGGCTGAAGACACTCTTAGCTTTATTTTTTCAATCATATACTAGATGTCTTGTGTCATTCTTTCCATACATTCTCTGTGACCTCCATGCTCTGAAAACCTCAGACCTCCCATTGCTAACTGTCCACTCCACCTGCACTCCAGAGGGGGACCAATTACACCCTAGTCCAATCAGCAAACTTCTCTGCTATCTGGTGGTCAAACTTTATCTCTCTAGTGCAATATAAAACTTTCCCAAGTGTGTCCTTCCATGGACACTTTCAGCTGAGGGGGCCACACTGAGCTTCCTTATAACCACTCTTTATCATACTGAATAATTTTTGTGTTAAACTTCATCTCTTTAATCTACTATATGGTTTGTCTACCTACTTCTAGGTAGGACTAGAAGTACTACACCTACTTTGTCTCAAAACTTAAATCTATTAATATGTCCACCTTTCCACTGACAATTCCATCAAAAAGTCATCACTTCTTCTCTATCTCTAGACCATTCTCAATCCCTAACCTCTCTCTCCAACAGAGAAGGTTTGGGGCAAGCTTAGATATACCCTACATACCTTTCTCAAAAACATCATTTGTCAAGAACATATACAAGCTGTCTCCTTCCTATCAAATAGAAGATGAGCTCTTTCCCTAACATGTTAAGGCCCTCCATAGCCTGGTCTCCCCCAGGCATCATCTGGCTGGCCCAGCCCTGTTGCTTCCTTCTCCAAAGAATCAGAAGGTGTTCAGCCCTCATAAGGCCTAACCCCATCACCACATCTGTGTTCGTGATCCTGTCTTCCTCTTCTTTGCCCAATTATACTAGAGGTTTCTGGGGCCAGTTGCTTCTAGTCTACACATTCCTTTGTGGTAATCTTCCTATACTTCTGTCTGTTATGTCCTCAAAGTATAATTAGCACTTTATATTCTTTTTTAATTCTCTAAGTAATAATACCCTCCAAAGCATGACCCTGTGATACTCTTTCTCACTAATTTATGTGTCCATGATGTACTACCCTGAATTTTTTTTTAACTTCAGCTCATATTTCTTATATATGAGCCTTTGCACAGTAGTATGGTTAATGTTACATGATGATGAAAAACCAGACTAAGTTAGGTTTTAATTCAAAGTAACAGTTACACAGACAACCATAGCTAAAAAGTGTAAAACATTTCTACATTTTAGAGAAAGGTACCCCTCTTCTTGCAGGCAGATGCAGCTTTACATCTAGTTGCATGGGTTGACAAATGGTGATCAGACAGGATTTCATCTGAACCCTATGCAAACATGCACAGAAGCACTGGAGCAGGAATGTAACACTAACTTTGTCAAAAGAGTCAAACTGTAGTACAAAAATGTTCATAGGAATCTCTTGAATTTTTTTTAGAATTTTATTCTATTATACATCACTCTGATTCTGGACAGTGTCTCATCAGTTGGCATTACATTAGCTAAATGGCAAATTTACGGGCATAGAAGCTATCGTGATGGAATTTCTGTTTGTAACCAATATTAACTGATGACATAACTCTATGCTAGACCCATGAACTAAGTCTAGAGATACAAAATCAGGTAATCACCTGACTCATGATGCTTACAGCCCAGTGATATGCTCTATTTCAGAATGTCATTTTCCTAATGTTATACTTACTGATAAACTTGTTTTGCATAGTCTCCAACAGAGCTTGGTGAGCATCTTCGGCTTGTAAAGCATGTGAACATTCTCTAGCCAGTATGGTGCGCACGAGATGTTCTCCACATCCTAGAAGTCCAAGGAAACCAACAGTGGTTGAGGAAAAGCAGTACTGAACACCCTGCTTGTCTCACTAGCATTAAAATACCTTTGTGTGTCACTTAGTAAGTAGCTACACGAAGAACAACTCAGTGAGGGATGAAATGACTTCTATGAACCATTGGGTAATTTTAGTCAAGAGATTTGGCAGAAACTAAAGAATCTCAAAAGGAAAACAAGAAAAAGAAAAGAAACCCTTTCCTCACGGAAATAATTTTTATAATACAGGAACATATATTCTCTACCGAGGAATTTCCTAGGGCTCTATCTCCTTCCCATGACTAGGTAACTAAAAGTGATCCTCTTTTTTTTCCTTTGTTTGCATTCATTTGGCCTTAGTCTTCCGGTCAGTAAATGGCCACCCACAACCACCAGCCATTTCCCCTCTAGCAACCTCCCTGCCTGGGTGCTGGGGGAAAATGCAGGCAGCCAAGGGGCACGCACACTCTCTTTCCACCCACTTTTCACCTCAGTGTCATCAAATATAAACAGGTGCAGGATGGTATAATAAAAAACAGCATTTTCCTCACCTTACAGTAACTCACAGCTTTCAACTTAAAAACTCCAGTTCTAATGAAAAAGTGTGTTTTAACCCTGAGATGAATTTGAACTATTCAGACACACTAAGTTAGCCATAGGGGCAGGATGCAGGGACTGGTATATGCTGTCTAAAATTCCACCACAGTCTCTACGTTAAAATAGAAACTACCTGCAGAAGTAGAGACAAAGGAATTTTAATTTACAGATTGATGAATATTAATTAAAATTCTCTGAAGAAAAAGCCTTCTGTTATCCTAGAAATACAAAACTTAAAAAGGCTACTTTCAAAAACAAGCAAAACTTTTTAAAAATACTGAATGCAACTTCATATTGGCATCACTAAATAAAACGTCAGCATCCTTTTACTTAAACAGTAGATATACGAGATCTTTACGAAGATTTTCTCATTTAAAATGTTTTTCCATTAAAAATGATTCCTCCCAAAAGTGTTATATATTTATAAAACTTAGTTTTCTAAAAATATCACTTTATATTTTGCCAGAAATAACAGGTAAATGTAAATGCAAACATTTACAAGATCTACATATCTCTGTAAATAACTACATGTGAAAGAGGATCTAATAGTAATTGAATATATAACTTTGTGGGCAGGACTATAGCAATCCTTATTCTGTTAATAAAGGTAACAGAAAAAATGTTTTAACACTTACTATGTAGAAACACTGTACTAAGCTCATAAAACTCCACAAACGTTAAGCCAGACAAGGTGGTGCACCACTATAATTCTAGCTCTGGAGGCTGACGCAGGAGGACTGCTATGAGTTCAAGGCCAGTCTGAACTACTTGGTGGGACTCTGTCTCAGAAAAACAAAATGCCAAAAAAGGAAACCCCTCCACAGTGTTAATCCCTTGTGCACATATTTGATGTTGAACAGTGAAAAGTTATACTTTAGGACAATACTAATTCTTAGGAAATTGGCATGGTATAAGCTAAATGAGTATCACGAAGGTCATGTATACATGTCTCAAGTCAAACAGTTCAACCACACAGAGTTAATATTACATTAAAAATACACAATGTGTCAGGAAGATTTTTCCTCTGTTGTTATATGAAAATATATACTGTTTTCCCCATGATTGACTTTTACTAAGAAACTCTTAACATTATAAGTTACATTCCATGACATATATTGCTTTTAACAGAAATGCTATGACATCAAAAGCTTGTTCTTCTATAGGTTCCAATCAAAGAAAACTTGACTTCTGTGGTTTTAAGTAAAACCACAAAATTCCAAAGTTACTTAGACTATGTTACCATAGAGTTGAAGTGTGACTCAAAAGCAAACAGTTCCATTCTCTATTCACTGATACTAGAAATAAGTCTTGCGTTGTATCCTCTTTTTGTCCTTACTTATACAAGGTAAGAATATGTTCATGTTCTTAAATCTTAGCAGAAAGCATGGATTGTATAGAACAAAAACCTGAAAACAAACTTAGAAAAAAATACCAAGTTCTAAGAGAATTTATCAAAGTGCACACTTATTTGCCACCAATGAATGACAAATGAGTGGGTTGGAACACACAGTGAATTCATAACTTTATGTCTTTAAAAATAGTCATCTTTGCCAGGAATATAACTCAGCAGCACAGCTCCTGCTTGGCAAGAGCAAGGTCCTGAGTTAGATTCCCAGTAAAAAAAAAAACAAAAAACGAAAAATAGTCATCTTTAAAGATGGCATGGAATCAATTCACTAGTGATAAATAAAAGCAAGCAATAAAGCATTTCTCTGTTTTTCATATATGAAATATATATCAAAGTAACCAAATGTTTTGCAGAAGCAAACATTTTCTATAGAAATACCCCAGGTAATACATGAAGGAGAAATAAACAAAATTAGAATGTAAGTATTTGTAACCTACAATACAATAACTGATACAAACAACAAAAATAGCTGCTAATACCACAAAAAGATAAAACTAGACATTATGTGCTTCTTGATAAACTGAACCTATGTAGTCTTGCCCATTATCAAACAATTAAATTTGAATCTGAAAACAACTCTAAATTCAATTATCAATTTTAAGAAATAAAAAGTATCTGCAAAAATTCTATAGTTAGGCTGGGCGTGGTGGCGCAAGCCTGTAATTCTACCACGTGGGAGGATGAAGTAGGAGGATCACTGTGAGCTTGAGGCCAGCCTGGGCTACACACTGAGTTCAAAAACAGCCTGAACTATATAGTGAGACCCTGTTTTTGTCTCAACAAAAACAAAATCAAAAATTTATAGTTAACATCACACTTAATGATGAAAATCTGAATTGTTTCTCCTTAAGATTAGTAATGAGGCAATAATATCTGTTTTCATCACTTCTCTTCAACAATACACCGGCATTTCAAGCTACTGAAATAAGGGAAAAAAAGAAATGAAAATCAGAAAGGGAGAAATAAAACTCTCCCTCTTGGCAGATGATACAACTACTTATGTAGAAAATCGTAAGGGATTTCTCCACATTGTTCCCATCTGATTAGCAGTCTAACACGAAGTTTGGCTGCTGATTCCTGCTTTGTATCTACGTCTCTCCTTTCCCCGCACATTTATTCACCAGTCTGTTACTGAGCTCCTACTTTGTGCTAAGCCCTGAGTACACAGTTGTCAGAGGGGTGCTGCTGCACACTGCCAGACTTCCACAAAGGGAAGTGCTTGGGCACTGAATGCTCACGGAGCTGTCATTCTCACCAGTCCAGATGCCAAAACGCTTGACACTGTATCCGACAGAACTAGTTCAGGGATTCAGATGAGAATCCTGAATTCAGCAGGGAGGCTACACAACCCCACATCCTCCTGAGAGACATGCTCAGGTCATCCCTACTCAATCACAACCCTCAGCCCAGCTTCAAGTCACTCTTTCCCAGTGTACTTCTTTTGCTAAGATTTCATACTGAAGGTGAACATACAATAAAAATTACCACCTCCCCCCATACATATACACTCCCACAAGAATGAGCAAATGCAAAAAAACAGCAAAACAAAACACACAGGGTTATTACATCAAGAAGTATGAATAATAAAACAGAGGTCTATTATTATTAAACTCTTTCTGTAACAAGCCAAATGGTAAATATTTTGCTTTGCAGGCTCCATGTGATCTTTGTCTATCACCCCCCTACACACACACACCTATGAAATTTAATAAAATCATTCTTAGCTCATGGGTCATACAAAAACAAACCATGGACCAGCTTCAACCCATATGCCATTGCTTCTCTATAACAATCTGTACTACAAGGGAAAAAAAGGGAGATTATGATTTTAAAACAGCACAACCTGGGAGGAGAATAAAAGGACAGGCATGGAGATTTCTCAAGGCACTACGCAGAACTTTTCAAATTAAAAAATATTTAAAACTCAATACATGCCAAACATCAGATTAGAGGCAACTCAAGAGGGAAAACTAAAAGATAGCTATATCATGTAAAAAATATTAAGAAGCAGTCTAGAATGATAAAGAGAAGGAAAATGAGGAGCTATAAGCCCTAATATGTAAAATAAGAATGGCCAAGGCATTAATAGGCACTGAAGAGACAAAAGACAAGTGGAAAAGAGAACGCTAAATATATGAAGAGATGAGTAAGAATTTTCTAGGATAGAATTATAAGTAAATCTTAACACTGAGAATCCATACAGTTTCAAAGAACCAAAACAAACCTATCTGTAAGTGTATAGTAGTAAACCAAAGACCGCAAGAAAAGTGATAAAAACGGACCATACAAAAAAATAATCCACAAAGAAATTCAAAATATTAAAAAGTAAACCGACAGTTCAATATTATCAAATAAAAAAGGCCAGACAACTGAGCTGGAAGATGCTAAGGCAAAAGACAAACAGTCAAAACCTCATCAACCCAAAATGCTACAGTGAATGTGCATATCTTTTCAGGAACATAGTGAGATTTTAGCTTTCAGCCCACATCTATTCTGCCCAAGACTACTCCTTGACATCACTCCTGATGCTTTTAGTATCTCTCTACATGATTCTCCCAGTATCTTGGCTTCTAGCTCCTCTGATACCCTCTCAAGTTATCCCAACTCCCTCATAAATGCACTCCCACAACCAGCATGAGCAGTAATGTTAACTGCTCTGAAGTCTCTACCATGGTCAGCCAACTAGTCTCATCCTCCCAGCTCGTCCCCTGAGCAATCCAGCCCAATCTTCCGTCCACCTCGCCAAAAACCCCCAACCCTTAATTCTGCTGCTTTTTGATTATTTCTCTCCCTCCATAAGCCCTCACTCTGTTCTTACTCAGCCAGAATTCCAGGCTGCAGTAATTTATATCCATTCCCTCACTCCTGAAAGCATCTGTTTCTCTTGCTTCATCAAACTTGTCTGGCACCAACTCACCTTAGAGTATCAGTCAGAATAGCTACACTGGGTAGCAAAAAAAAACAACCCCTAAATCTCAGTGACTTA